TGGTAGGGCTGTGCGATTATGGCAAAAACCATAATCACGATTATTTTGGTCAATAATTTATATCACGATTATTAAATACGATTATTCATTGACTTTGAAAACATCCATTTATTGAACTTTTAAATACAAATAATAATTTGAACAGTATCTCTTTAACTGTTGATTTCCCTGAACGTATAATTCAACTGAAAAACCAATACAAAAATAAATAAAATAAATGATACATTTATATCTATATTTAAATAAATAATATCAAAAATAATAAATACCAATAAACAAGATCAACAAATATTTTGGAGCGCACTTCAACAAGCTACTAAACATATATAAATATGATAAATACAAATACATTAGATCAAATATGTTGCAGTCCACGGTCACAACCTAGCAAAGCAAAATAATTGTATTTTTCGATTATGTTGATTTCGTAATTGTGGCAGGCCAACATCGTAATTGCGATTAAAATACAATTAATTGCACAGCCCTAGTAGGTTGGTTCATTCTTGTATATTCTAGTTTATTCTGTATATTTTATGTAGTGTATTATAGAAGCCTCCATAAGATCTTTAACTGAATTGTATTCGCTCTCGTTTAATCAGTCCTGTGTTTATTGACTTATTTTTATTTAATTGTTTTTATAAATCACAAAGTTATGAGTCGCTCTGCCTATGAACTGTTTTTCTTTGTATACTGCTTTCTGTTTTGGTTTGTAAAGCTCTTTGTGTTGTCTTTTGTGTATGAAACATCATGTGCAATGCCTTGTTAACATGCTACTGTAACAAAACCAATTGGGTATCAAAATACATCGTATCATCGAATCTAAAAGCAGAGTGAGTTCCTGCAAACAAGGAGCAGTGTTTTACCTGCTGGAAGTGTGAGAGGTAAAAGTCGTGAGAGCACGGGAGCACGGGAGTTTTGATGGGACTGTCTGCATCCAGACTCAGCTCCATGGACTCTGCACAACACACACACACAGAGACACACACACACACACACAGAGACAGACACACAGAGACACACAGAGACAGACACACACACACACACACACACACAGACACACAGAGACACACACACAGAGACAGACACACAGAGATACACACACAGAGACACACAGAGACACACACACACACACACACACACACACAGAGACACACAGAGACACACAGAGACAGACACACAGAGACAGACACACAGAGACACACACACAGAGATACACACACAGACACAGACACACACACAGAGACACACACACAGAGACACACAGAGACAGACACACAGAGACAGACACACAGAGACACACAGAGAGACACAGAGAGACACAGAGAGACACACACACACACACACACACACACACACACACACACACACACACACACACACACACACACACACACACACACACACACACACACACACACACACACACACACACACACACACACACACACACACACACACACACACACACACACACACACACACACACACACACACACACACACACACACACACACACACACACACACACACGTTAAACTCAATAAACTCTGAGCTGTGAATGAGTCACTCTTTGGGCGTGTCACTTGTAGGTGCCGACAGTAGCTGTTAAAGTAGAGTAATAACACACCTACACATATCAGAAATAAGATTGTCTTTACCACTGTTCACAGATTGAACTCTTTGTAGCTGCTGCTTCGTGCTAGAAAAGCTCTTTGTGCTGAGCTAAGTTCAATCCCCTGCGCATTTAAACTAGACAACAGATAAAGCAGTTTTTCCTGACACCACCCCTTGTCTCCAAGGAAACAGACAAATATTGACAGCAACATTGAACACAGTGAGAAGTATTTCAACCTGAATGCAGGCCGCACTCACCCTGTGTCCTCGCTCTCTTGGCTTTCGTCTCTTCTTGAGTGGGAAGTGGAAGAGAAGAGTCCACTGACCTCTGAAATTCAAAACCATGCACAAATCAGAACATTACAATAGCTGATTAACACTTTATTTCAATATCATATCCGAGTCGTAAGATAAGACTTGATGTCATTTTAGATTTTGGATATTGTAAAGATCGTAATACGGCATAATTGTTTGTCTTTTCCTGGTTTGAATCCAAGTTTGGGCTGGACGATGAACAAACAATGTTTGAGTGCAGTGTGCAAATACAGCCACACACACAGCCACACACACACACACACACACACACACACAGCCACACACACACACACACACACACACACACACACACACACACACACACACACACACACACACACACACACACACACACACACACACACACACACACACACACACACACACACACACACACACCACACACACACAACACACACACACACACACACACACACACACACACACACACACACACACACACACACACACACACACACACACACACACACACACACACACACACACACACACACAGCTGCAGCACCTGGGCTGACACTGAACACACCTTAACATTACACGTATTGATTATAAAACAGGGGACAGATACACTACTACACTGCATTACAGCAGAGTGATTTCTAATTATATTATTTGTCTTCCACCACTGAGTCATTATATCCACATTAATTATGATTATTTAACTAAAATCTCATTGTGTAAACGCACTCATTTTCTACGGTACAATATCTTAGCCATATTGAGGTATTTAGTCAGGAATATTGTTAGATATTATCCATTATGCCTAGCGCTATAATGACGGATGTTATTCTTCTCTGTGGCAGCAGTGATTGCTTGTTGTGGTCATGGTCACCTGCACTCCTGACTTAAATCTCCTCCTGCCTGCGGTCTGACTACCTCATCATCTGGTTGTTGTCTGACACAAGATGGATGTGGTTTGTGATTCTCACATCCGTCTCTTCCTCTCTTCTTCGTCCTCTGTGAGCTCCTGTCTTCCTCCCTGCCTGGAGACTCTGAGGGCAGGCAGCTATCTGCGGCTCGCACTGGGCTCGATGAGCTGCTGCTCACCTCGTTCTCCTCTCCTCTGTCTACTGAGGACGTCTGCGGAAGACCATTTAACTTCACCATACTGTCGTAGGAAATGTGAAACTTTCTTTCTCTAACTGTGAGCTGACAAATGTGAAATCTCAGTAAAAAAAATACAGATTTTTAATGACATAAAGTTCTCTAGGCTTCAGCTTCTGTTCTGTCTAAGTCTTTTGAAAATACTAACAGTGACACATGACTGCAAGGATCCTAGTCACAGGTTTATAAGAACACTGACCACCTCTTTCTTCTTTTCAGACATGACTAGTCGCACTGCACTTCCCTCTGGCTCTTCCTCAGGCTGAATAACCTGTGAGCAGAAAGCAGTGTAGAAACTGCACTGCCCTTCTCTTCTCTCAGTATGGTAAGAATCTGCTGAGTATATTTGAGCTTTAGGCTGTTTGATGAAGTGCACACTCACCTTTACAGATGTCTCCTTGCTATATTTTTCGGTTGATTGTCTGATCAGGTCATACAGGTGCTGCTGCTCAGTTTCCTGCAGCGCTGAGCAGAAGCCGCTGAAGGCTCTGGGCCCTCGCTTCGGCAGGAGAAGGAGTAAACGGAAGCTTCGCTTGTGAGATGTTTGCTCGGCCTACAGCAGAGGAGACAGACCAGAAAACATAACAATTACAAATAATGAAAACATTGTAACACTGGTTGTTTAGAGGGGGCATCAAACCACTATAACAAGCCACGGAGAAACCAATGTATTTAGGCTTTCCCTTAAGCAGATGTATCTTAAAATCAAGTTACAGGTAAGCCAAAGGTGACTGATCCAATTGACCCCAGGGGAAGGCTATATCAAGCAGACATGTGTATTTCAATCATTGAAAAGGCCCTTTGCTGCTGAGCTGAAAGAATGTTTATTATCATTTAAAAGCGCTTAAGATGCTGTAATTAGTGCAAAGTATTTTTTTTGAAATGACTGTTAACCTACAATGTATTGCCTAAAGACACAAGCAAACAAAAAAATGGTCTATAAATGCAAATGAGCACAGTAAGAAAATAGAAAATAACACAATCTTGAGATGAATAAATACGGCATTACATTTGAAATACCCAGTGCTATCAAAAGGTAAATTAAACAGGCTCAAAGTCATATGAATGTGGCTTAAAATAAAAATAAATTCACCTGTTGACAGATAGACAGTTTATAGCATACATAATAATAATAATAATAATAATAATAATATATCTGCACATTTTTTAAGTACAAATGTAATGACTTTTAAGATCTTTTTAAGACCTCTAAAAGGAAAAAATAATACCATTACAAAAAAATCGATGAACTAGACAACCGTATAAACCGTTACTGAGTTTTATGGCATTTGAATAACGGGAGATATTCAGTGCACATTACCCAACATGACTGCCTTCGCATTGACAAAAAAGAAATGGTATGGCAGTAGACCAATGGAAACCAATGCCCCCCCCCCCCCTGCACACTCATTCATTCTGCCCCAGATAACCTTCAATAACTCCCCTCCTAAAATTCCAGACCTTTTAAGACTTGTTAAGGATCCGCGGGGACCCTGTATATCAGAGTCCACATACCATGATGCCCTCGGCCATGCTCTCAGTCAGGATGCTGTCCGCCTGTAGGAGCTGAATGAGCAGCTCGTCCACCACCAGCTGTTTGCAGAGGACAGCAGTGTTTCTCTGCAGAGCCCGTCTGTCCTGCTCCTGCATGCCGCACTCCAACATACTGCCCAGTAGACTAGAGACAGGACAGGAAACAAAACACATGAGCCTCTGTGTACTGTAGCGGTCAGACTGTATAACCACCACGGCCCCTGGTAGACCCCTACACAATACAGACAATCTTGTGCAATGAACCTGCAATGTGCATATAGACAATTCTCCTTGCAATACTGTGCAATAATCACCGTTACTAGGTTGTTATAATGTCTCAAAACCTAGTATGTTACCTATGTCACTAAGTTCTTTAAGTGACATAGGTCAAGCTCCTAGGTGGAAAAAGTACTCAGATCTTGTACTTGAGTAAAAGTAGAAGTACCACAGTGTAGTAATACTTTGTTACAAGTAACAGTCCTACATTCAAAATGTTACTCAAGTAAAAGTAGAAAAGTTTGGGCATCATAATATACCAAAAGTAAAAGTAGTCATCGTGCAGATTGGTCCATTTCAGAATAATATATATGATATGTTTTATAATGATTGATCATTAAAGTCTGATTTAACACTTGATTATATTTCACATCATTAATCCAGATCTGTAAAGTAACTAAAAGTATTAAATACATTTAATGGAGTAAAAGTACACCATTGAACTCTGAATTGTAGTGGAGTAGAAGTACAAAGTAGCAGAACATTTGAATACTTAAGTAAAGTACAAGTACCTCAAAATTGTAATTAAGGACAGTACTTGAGTAGATGTACTTAGTGTCTTTACACCACTGATTTTTAGCCATGGATTTGTACTTAATTGTCTTTATTTGTATTCTATTATGACTAATGTGTGTCTTTTGTCTTCTACACATTCAATAAGCGTATTCTTTATTATTGCATGCCTTTTTTTAAACCTGCTATGCCAATGCTTTGCTTTGATACAGTACATTTCCCAGCTGCGGGACTAATAGAGGATTTCTGATTCAGAAAAACGTGACCGGGAATGTAAACAACTCCAACGTCTTACTACAGCACTAGTGTGTGTTCCTCTCTGTATTTATTCAGACAGCGACGAGATACTATCGGTGCACATTTCACTGTCGCTTGGCTTTCTTAATCGGACATTTCGCTAAATAATTATACATAAAACTTCGGTGATCGTGCCAGTACAAAATACTTATCAATCACTTATAATTTACTATAAAATAAAATAAAGCCAAATATGCTAGCTAGACGATGCTACGATATAAAAGGTACAGGTAACAGTTGACAACAATAACTAGCAAAACAGACATCTTAATAGAATAAGCTTAACAAAATGTCACGATGTAAGAGACTGTAATGTTGTTGTTTTTTATTGATAGTTAAAACGTAATGGCTAATAATTACAAATGCTAACGCGCTAACTAGCTAACTTCGGACCTCCCCTTTTTTCTTGCATTAAAGTGAGCAATATGTAATTCCTTTCAAACCCACGACTTACCGTTCTTCTGTGTCTGCAACGGAATATAAAAAATGTCCAAAGAAATGTCGAAGAGTTTAAAAACTACCTCAACATCCCGTTTTTTACTCCACTTCACACAGCAACTTCCGACGGGTGCTATGCTGCATGAAAGGGGCGTGGCTTCTAGGGTGCTTATTTTGGCTTAGGACCAATGAGAGCAGACTATATTTTGAGTGACGTGTCCAGTATCCAATCACCAGGCTTCTTACAGATTGGTGCCACCCAGATTGGTGCCACCCACAAGGAGTTCACAAGTGGAGCTACAAGGGGCATTTTGAATTTGAATCTGTTATCTGTAAATAAGTAGCCAATTGATAAGGAGCTCGTTGAAGATAGACACAAACATTTGACTAATGGAAAGTCATTTATCTCCAAGATGATGGACTGTTATTGGCTGTAAACAAAGGGAATGGGATTCCAAGTAAAAAGATTTCCACTAATATAGCATGACAGCAGCTCAGAATATTGAAAAGAAAACGTCAATCATTTGTTAGATTCACTTTGCTCCAGTATTTATGCTGTTTTATACTTCTAATCCAGATAAACTCTGTATTTTTAACTCCACTATTTCACAAATACATTGTTTGTACACTGTGACAATATAGATCCAACTCAAAGCATCAGCTATAATAATTCAGCAATATATCATAATATGACACGGACAGAGCAGGGATTTATTCTTTTAAACTCTTTTTTATTCGTTTGAATGTAAAATGTACAGTTATACAATTATCCTGTGCTTAATGTGTTATTATCTGCAAAACGTTTGTCAGTAAGAACATTTTATACATGATCAATCAAGTTATTCCATTAATTGGCATATTGTTTTTTCTCTTGTCATTGTTTTGGGCTCTCACCAAACAAACCCTGCATTTGTCCAACCTAAATTCTCATATAATCACAGTTTTAAATAAAAAAATTCAAAGTGATCCCATGGCGGTGTTTTTTTGTGCCTTGGATTTAAACTAGAAACTTCTCCTGCAGGCTTTGTCGGTCACATCCACTGATCAATGTAAATGTTTCATCCTCTCAATGTAAAGCAAATGCAGACTCAGGATCTACACAAATGCAAACTTTTGTCTGAAGGGTGAATTAAGGTAAAATACTTCAACCCACTTAAGTACTGTATGTGCTAAGACACAGAAACACTTCACAAACCAATTGAAATTCATCATTTTTAGATGAAAGCTATTTACAAATTCCCCTTGTGTCAAAGAGATGTAAGGCTGAAATTGGCCCCATCTTTATGATGTGTAAATACGTTTGTTTTATTTGTATCAACTGCACGGTATGGGTAGAAAATGCACAGATGCATGCAATAAAGTAATTAGAAAAGGTTTTATAAAGAATATGGAGCCCTCTTGTGGTTATCTTACATTTGACCTCATCATCTGGTTGTTGTCTGACACAAGATGGATGTGGTTTGTGATTCTCACATCTGTCTCTTCCTCTCTTCTTCGTCCTCTGTGAGCTCCTGTCTTCCTCCCTGCCTGGATACTCTGAGGGCAGCCAGCTATCTGCGGCCCCCCCCCCCCCCCCCCCCGAGAATTCATAGTATTATAATTACAGATTATAATTAACATTATTAGGGAACTTGTACTTAAAACTAATATGTATGCTATTTATTACTTCTAATAAAGATACTTTTAATTGGAATACATTAGTTTAGAATCAGGTGTCAATTAAATACTGTTAGTTGCCTAGCAACTGTAACTAGGCAACTTGGAATGCAATTATTTGAATGACTTCATAGTCGGACAAAGTCAAGTGATGTCTCCCGGAATGTGACGAGGTCACTATCTGAATTCATCTGGTCACGTGATGCGATGATGTCATTAATGGCTTTGAAATTGTCTGAACCAAATTCTTATAGGACTAAGTTTGAGTCTTGAGTTCCGCAGTTATTTGAGACACAACACAGGTTGCAGTACAGACAGTATTTTCCCAACACAACACGACAACACAGAACAAACTGAAATGGCCCATCCAATCTACAATGCCTGCATATTGAAGCGGCGGGAACAAATAATGATGCCGAAACAGGCAGAGGAGGACTATAGGTCTGAGACGGCTGCAAATGAGGTGGATTTCAAGAGAAAGGACTGGCAGCGAGCGCTTGACGCAGCCAATGATAAGAGGTTCTTCCAGAATGAAGATGTCAGAAAGTTCAATAGAGACCTCTTAAAAGAAAAAATAAGAAAGGACAGTGCAGCTATTGCTGCGTCTAAGAGAGAGAAAGAGAGGAAGGCTGACCAACAGAGAAGGGAGAAGGAAGAAGAGATGCGTCAGATATGTATTGATGCTCAGAGAAAAGAGGAGGACAAAACTCGTCAGAGACGCCGTGATAAGCTGGCTCTGAAAGATGAGCTTATTAAGCAGATCAAGGAGAAGAAGCTGTTGAGAGAAGAGGAGAGACAGCAGGAGAAGGAAGAAAGAGACCAACTCCGGGCCCTCGATGAACAGCATCAACAGAAGCTTAGAGATGAGCAACGAAAAGAACTGGAGACAAAGGACAAAAATCTAAAACTTCACAAAGAGGAAATCTATAGAATAAACTGGCTAAGACAAAGGGAAATTGAAAAACTGAACATGAAGGAGAAGGAAACTAAACGTGTTCAGACTGACAGAGAGGAAGTGCTGCAGCAGAGAAAACAGGACAAGTCAGAACAATTGAAGAAGAGGCAGATTTCTAAGGATATAGTTAAAGAAAAACTGGCAGATGCTATAAAACAGCAGGCTGCTCAGAAAATCCAGAGAGAGAAGGTGAAGTTGTCCAAGGAAGTGGCCGAGGCAGAGGCTAAAGTGATAAAACGGCAGAAGGACGCGAAGGAGAAGAGGGCTGCGGCTCTGAAGAGCATTGCCACTCACAGAGTGGAAAAACATCATGAAAATGAACAGAAGGAGAGAGAGGAGAAAGCGAGCAGCCTGGACTTGTTAAATCAAATGAAACAGTGTGACAGGTTGTCTGAGGAGCAAAATAAACTAGAAGTTTATTTAGAAAGACAAAAGAACATTAAGCATAAAGAGGTTTTATTATCCGATGCTGCTAAAAAGAAAGCCCTTCGTCAACAGGAGATAAGAGAGGAAATGCATGCTACCAGAGAAATGGAGAAACAGATTGCTGAGGGAGAGAAACAAATCCAGCAATACATGCAGCAGGAGGGCAAGCATCTTCCAGCAGCTCGGACCGGACAGGAGGTGCCAGATTACAATGACTTCTGTCGAGAAACTGGTGAGCGGTTTACCAAACGTGGTACTGCCCCCCTAAGCAGGGCGTGCTTAATGAAACGGTATCGGGAACGCGGCAGCCTGCAGCTAGCCACGGTGGATGTGAGGCCGCACTTTCTGCCAACACTTTCCAGAGCTGGTGATGCCCGCCATGGTTCAAAAGATGCAGGTGAACCGTTGCTCACGAAGGCAAATTCTGGATGGCAGCGCACCCTTTCCTCGGAGGAGAAGATAAAGCAGTACCTGGAAAAGGACAAGTTTCAGCTCAAAGAGAGCAGTACTGCTGGTCTGCGGCCAACCCGCCTCCCAACCATTAAAACACCGGGAGCTCCTGCAGGACGACACTCTGCCCCAACTGGGGTGGAGTCATCAAAGAACCGTGGGAAAGAAACAGGAGAACGGTTGCCCAGATTGGACACTGCTAAAAGCCGGGACACCGAGCAGGAGAACAGTAAAGGGAATCTGCAGCGGAGCTTCCTCCCACCAATCACAACAAAAAACACTCCTGCAGTAAAGATCTGTTCCTCTCGGGTTGCGTTGCGGGCCCACATGACAGTTACAGGGGAACCATTGCTCACGAAGGCAAATTCTGGATGGCAGCGCCCCCTTTCCTCGGAGGAGAAAATAAAGCAGTACCTGGAAAAGGACAAGTTTCAGCTCAAAGAGAGCAGTACTGCTGGTCTGCGGCCAACCCGCCTCCCTACCATTAAAACACCAGGAGCTCCTGCAGGACGACACTCTGCCCCAACTGGGGTGGAGTCATCAAAGAACCGTGGGAAAGAAACAGGAGAACGGTTGTCCAGATTGGACACTGCTAAAAGCCGGGACACCGAGCAGGAGAACAGTAAAGGGAATCTGCAGCGGAGCTTCCTCCCACCAATCACAACAAAAAACACTCCTGCAGTAAAGATCTGTTCCTCTCGGGTTGTGTTGCCGGCCCTCATGACAGTGACAGGGGAACCATTGCCCAGATTTGCCACTAAGCAAACAAAAATGATCAAGAGGAAGCAGGAGCACCTCATCTACTGATCTACATCCCCCCCCTACTCCCCTAACCCACTTTTTTTTTTATTTAATGTGTTCTCATTGTTCCCCCTTTTCTCCTAAGTCCATGTAGTCTTCATGAATGGGTTTTCTCCAGGTGTTCTGGGTTTTTCCAACAGTCTGAATATTTCAGCATAAAAAAAACACCGGGGGGGGGGGGGGGGGGGGGGGGGGGGGGGGGGGGCGGTGGTGGTGGTAGTGGAGCACGCTTACAGTAATTGCGCCGCATATGAATTGTAATGCTTAATGGGATAAAGGTGTGCCGCATTTGCGCTTCGGGTGAGGCCCCCTCTGCAAGACGAGGCCCCCTCCGCGATGTGAGGCCCCACGTGATCTGCGTGTAGGGAGGGGCGGGCCTGCTTATTGTCTTAAATGGAATAAGTAAACTGTTTACTGTTTTAAATATTTATTAAGTAATCACAATTTTGATTTGAAACTAGCGATAGAGACCGTAAACTTATAAAGAATATGTTTGCTGGAAGTGATACCGAGTTAATGAAGTGATAGGAAGATTATTTTCTCGTTAACTTCTATAAAACCTGATGTGTTCAACCAGAGGAGACGCCCCCTCTTGGATAGAGAGAATGCACATTCAGGGAAGTTGCAGGAATAGACCAGAAAGATAATAATTCACTGCATAAACACATATCAAAAATAATAACTGCAACATAAGGATAATGATGTGTTGCTGTATATCAAGAAAGTCACCACAGGATTATAATTCAGACACATTTTAGATTGCACACAGTCATTAATATTACAATTGTTAGTTTTGCTTTGTAGTTTTTACAAAAGATTTCCAGTGTAACTCCGTAACATTCACACCCTTCTCCGCCAGC